AGTTCAAACACGACACAAACTCAAGTTCAACAAAATCACAAACTCAAGTTCAACCAACACCTGATTCTCAAGTTTAACAATTTCCACAACTTCAAGTTCAAAAACAACAGAAACTCAAGTTCAATAAACACACAAACTCAAGTTTACCAAACACGACACAAACTCAAGTTCAAAAACACCAATGACTCAAGTTCAACCAATACCAGATTCTCAAGTTTAACAATTGCCACAACCTGAAGTTCAAAAAATTCCACACTCTCAACTTAAAAAAAAACACAAACTCAAGTTAAAAAACACCACAAACTGAAGTTCAAACACGACACGAACTCAAGTTCAACAAAAACCACAAAATCAAGTTCAAACATGAAACTCAAGTTCAAAAACACCACCAACTCAAGTTCAGAAACGCCACAAACTCAAGTTCAAAAACAACACAAACTCAAGTTCAACCAACACCCAAATCTCAAGTTAAACAATTGCCACAACCTCAAGTTCAACAATCACACAAACTCAAGTTCAAACACGACACAAACTAGAGTTCAAAAACACCAATGACTCAAGTTCAACCAATACCAGATTCTCAAGTTTAACAATTTCCACAACCTCAAGTTCAAAAAAACCACAAACTCAAGTTAAAACACGACACAAACTCAAGTAAAAAAAAAACACAAACTCAAGTTCAACCAACACCCAATTCTCAAGTTAAAAAATCTCCACAACCTCAAGTTCAAAAACATCAAAAACTCAAGTTAAAACATGACACAAACTCAAGTTTAACAAACTCACAAACTAAAGTTCAAACAATACACAATTCTCAAGTTTAAAAATTTCCACAACCTCAAGTTCAAAAACATCACAAACTCAAGTTCAAACACGACACAAACTCAAGTTTAACAAACACACAAACTAAAGATCAAACAATACACAATTCTCAAGTTTAAAGATTTCCACAACCTTAAGTTCAAAAACAACAGAAACTCAAGTTCAAAAAACACACAAACTCAAGTTCAACAAAAACCACAAACTCAAGTTCAACAAAAACCACAAACTCAAGTTCAAACACGACACAAACTAGAGTTCAACCAACAACCAAATCTCAAGCTTAACAACTGCCACAACCTCAAGTTAAAAAACCACACAAACTCAAGTTAAACAAACGCCACAAAGTCAAGTTCAAACATGAAACAAACTCATGTTCAAAAACAACACAAACTTAAGTTCAACAAACACAAAAACTCAAGTTCAAACACGACACAAACTCAAGTTCAACTTAAACAAAAACTCAAGTTAAACAAATCCCACAACATCAAGTTCAACAAATTCCACACCCTGAACTTCAAAAAACCAGAAACTCAAGTTCAAACACGACACAAACTCAAGTTCAACAAAAACCAAAAACTCAAGTTCAAACACGAAACTCAAGTTCAACAAACTCAAAAAATAGAGTTCAACAAACACCACAAACTCAAGTTCGAACACGAAACTCAAGTTCAACAAACTCAAAAAATAGAGTTCAACAAACACCACAAACTCAAGTTCGAACACGGCACAAACTAGAGTTCAAATAACACACAAACTCAAGTTTCACAATTTTCACAACCTCAAGTTTAAAAAATTCCACACCCTCAACTTCAGAAATACCACAAACTCAAGTTCAAAATCACCACCAACTCAAGTTCAAAAAGACCAAAAACACAAGTTCAACAAACACAGCAAATCAAGTTCAAAAACACCACAAACTCAAGTGCAAACACGACACAAACTCAAGTTCAAAAACACCACAAACTCAAGTTCAAACACGACACAAACTCAAGTTAAACAAAAACCACAAACTCAAGTTCAAACACGAAACTCAAGTTCAAAATCACCACCAACTCAAGTTCAAAAAGACCACAAACTCAAGTTCAACAAACACACCAAATCAAGTTCAAAAACACCACAAACTAAAGTGCAAACACGACACAAACTCAAGTTCAAAAACACCACTAACTAAAGTTCAGACACAACACAAACTCAAGTTCAGCAAACACACAAAGTCAATTTCAAATACAACAAAAACTCAAGTTCAAACATAACATAAACTAAAGTTCAACAAACACAAAAACTTAAGTTCAAACATGACACAAACTCAAGTTCAACTAAAACACAAACTCAAGTTAACCCTTTCATGCATGAATTATGATATATTGAGTTAAAAAATTCTTACTATGTGTTTTTATTCAATATAAGGCATATAAATAATATTGCAGTTGGAATTTTTTTTTTACCTGTTTCTGCTAAGTTTTTAGTGACATGTCCACTACAGCGGACAACATGCATTTGGTCGACATTACAGAAAATGAATTGTATTAATACAAATAATAGAACCCCACCCCAAAAAGGAGTCAAAACAATTAGATTCACATTTTAAAACATTTAAATTCTGTTTAAATGCACATTACAAAACATGGCTTGTGTCAAACAACAGCAACAACAACTGTCATCTGTGTCAAACGAACTGAAACCATGAGCCTAATTAGGCTTCAGGCCAGGTGCTACAACTTCAGCCAGCACACTCAAAGCAAAAACAAATGCCATAGATTGGATCATTCATGAAAATAATAATTACGATAATAAACAAAAGAAATAGTGACTTAGTGACTATCCAAACACATTCAGTTGTCGATGCCCTGTACTACATTAGTTCACATTTGAAAAGAAGGCACACAGTGATATTGCATCGCTGGACGATGGCAGTTCCTCTACATTTCTGTACTTCCTCTGGTCCCTCTCTGTGTGTGAACCCTGCATATAATAAATAACATAATGTGAAAAATATTGCACAACCAATCAATCTTTCTTTCTATTTATCTTATATATGTATATATATTTTTTCCATTGTTTTTATAATATTTTGTGCATGCACTGTTTGTAGTGTGTGTGTGTGTGTATGTGTGTGTGTGTGTGTGTGTGTGTGTGTGTGTGTGTGTTACAATGCGTGCACAAAATATATTTTTGCAAAAAATGTTTTACAAACATTGCAAAACTTGCACAAAGGCTGCACAAAATACAATATATACTATGCATGCACAAAATATAAAATACATGCACAACATTAATTTTTTGATACATACAATACAGGTTACCTTTTAATAACATAAAATGGTTGGTTTTAACTGAAAAGGTAAGCTTGAAATCAAGCATTTTGCAGAGATAAGGAGTTACACCATTTGCATGTATTGTAGTAGAAATAGTATAAGTCATGCATGCTGTCCACCGTAGTGGACAAATGGAAAATTCCAATTTCCTCAGAACATAAAAGCAATGCATGGAATTTTTTGCAACTATAGTAATTATTAGATGTTACTTTATCCCAAAATATTTTTTTTACCTGCAGGGCTCTGCTTTTATAAAAGGAAGCAGTGGAAATCCCAGAGGTGGAGGGTCTGTTCTCAGCAGAGGCAGCCATCTTGAATGTTGACGTGTTTTTTCTGCAGTTGCAACACATGGCCAGATGGCACCAGTGTTGGACTCATTTTCCAGGGTCTACTGTAGTGGCTAACATGCATTTGTAACATCAAACCTCTATTTTTATAATAGAAAATGACCTTTGAAGATTTGTCCACTGTAGTGACCGTTATACGTGAAAGGGTTAAACAATCACCACAACCTCAAATTCAACAAATTCCACACCCTTAACTTCAAAAAAACCACAAACTCCAGTACAAAAACAACAAAAAATCAAGTTCAACCAACCCCCAAATCTAAAATTTAACAATTGCCACACCCTCAAGTTCAACAAACGCCACAATCTCAAGTTCAAACATGAAACAAACTCATGTTCAAAAACAACACAAACTTAAGTTCAACAAACACAAAAACTCAAGTTCAAACACGACACAAACTCAAGTTCAACTAAAACACAAACTCAAGTTTAACAATTGCCACAACCTCAAGTTCAAAAAATTCCACACTCTCAACTTCAAAAAAACCACAAACTCAAGTTAAAAAACACCACAAACTAAAGTTCACACCGACACAAACTCAAGTTCAACAAAAACCACAAAATCAAGTTCAAACATGAAACTCAAGTTCAAAAACACCACCAACTCAAATTCAGAAACTCCACAAACTCAAGTTCAAAAACAACACAAACTCAAGTTCAACCAACACCCAAATCTCAAGTTTAACAATTGCCACAACCTCAAGTTCAACAAATTCTACCCCCTCAAATTCAAAAATACCACAAAGTCATGTTTAAAAACACCACAAACTCAAGTTCAAACACGACACAAACTCAAGTTCAACTAAAACACAAACTCAAGTTTAACAATTGCCACAACCTGAAGTTCAAAAAATTCCACACTCTCAACTTAAAAAAAAACACAAACTCAAGTTAAAAAACACCACAAACTGAAGTTCAAACACGACACAAACTCAAGTTCAACAAAAACCACAAAATCAAGTTCAAACATGGAACTCAAGTTCAAAAACACCACCAACTCAAGTTCAGAAACGCCACAAACTCAAGTTCAAAAACAACACAAACTCAAGTTCAACCAACACCCAAATCTCAAATTAAACAATTGCCACAACCTCAAGTTCAACAATCACACAAACTCAAGTTCAAACACGACACAAACTAGAGTTCAAAAACACCAATGACTCAAGTTCAACCAATACCAGATTCTCAAGTTTAACAATTTCCACAACCTCAAGTTCAAAAAAACCACAAACTCAAGTTAAAACACGACACAAACTCAAGTAAAAAAAAACCACAAACTCAAGTTCAACCAACACCCAATTCTCAAGTTAAAAAATCTCCACAACCTCAAGTTCAAAAACATCACAAACTCAAGTTCAAAAACATCACAAACTCAAGTTAAAACACGACACAAACTCAAGTTTAACAAACTCACAAACTAAAGTTCAAACATTACACAATTCTCAAGTTTAAAAATTTCCACAACCTTAAGTTCAAAAACAACAGAAACTCAAGTTCAAAAAACACACAAACTCAAGTTCAAACATGACACATACTCAAGTTAAAAAAAACACCAAAAACTCAAGTTCAACCAACACCTGATTCTCAAGTTTAAAAATTTTCAAAAACTCAAGTTCAACAAACAAAACGAACTAATGTTCAAACAGGACACAAACTCAAGTTCAACCAACACCCAAGTCTCAAGTTAAAAAATTGCCACAACCTCAAGTGCAACAAACACACAAACTCAAGTTCAAACATACCACAAACTCAAGGTCAAACACGCCAAAAACTCAAGTTCAAACATGACTCTCAAGTTCAAAAACACCAATGACTCAAGTTCAACCAATACCAGATTCTCAAGTTTAAAAATTTTCAAAAACTCAAGTTCAACAAACAAAACGAACTCAAGTTCAAACAGGACACAAACTCAAGTTCAACCAACACCCAAGTCTCAAGTTAAAAAATTGCCACAACCTCAAGTGCAACAAACACACAAACTCAAGTTCAAACATACCACAAACTCAAGGTCAAACACGCCAAAAACTCAAGTTCAAACATGACACTCAAGTTCAACAAACACCACAAACTCAAGTTCAAACACACCTCAAACTCATGTTCAACGAACACAAAAACTTAAGTTCAAACACCACAACATACTCAAGTTCAAACACGACACAAACTCAAGTTCAACAAAATCACAAACTCAAGTTCAACCAACACCTGATTCTCAAGTTTAACAATTTCCACAACTTCAAGTTCAAAAACAACAGAAACTCAAGTTCAATAAACACACAAACTCAAGTTTACCAAACATGCAAATTCAAGGTCAAAAACACCACAAACTCAAGTTCAAACACGACACAAACTCAAGTTCAAAAACACCAATGACTCAAGTTCAACCAATACCAGATTCTCAAGTTTAACAATTGCCACAACCTGAAGTTCAAAAAATTCCACACTCTCAACTTAAAAAAAAACACAAACTCAAGTTAAAAAACACCACAAACTGAAGTTCAAACACGACACGAACTCAAGTTCAACAAAAACCACAAAATCAAGTTCAAACATGAAACTCAAGTTCAAAAACACCACCAACTCAAGTTCAGAAACGCCACAAACTCAAGTTCAAAAACAACACAAACTCAAGTTCAACCAACACCCAAATCTCAAGTTAAACAATTGCCACAACCTCAAGTTCAACAATCACACAAACTCAAGTTCAAACACGACACAAACTAGAGTTCAAAAACACCAATGACTCAAGTTCAACCAATACCAGATTCTCAAGTTTAACAATTTCCACAACCTCAAGTTCAAAAAAACCACAAACTCAAGTTAAAACACGACACAAACTCAAGTAAAAAAAAAACACAAACTCAAGTTCAACCAACACCCAATTCTCAAGTTAAAAAATCTCCACAACCTCAAGTTCAAAAACATCAAAAACTCAAGTTAAAACACGACACAAACTCAAGTTTAACAAACTCACAAACTAAAGTTCAAACAATACACAATTCTCAAGTTTAAAAATTTCCACAACCTCAAGTTCAAAAACATCACAATCTCAAGTTCAAACACGACACAAACTCAAGTTTAACAAACACACAAACTAAAGATCAAACAATACACAATTCTCAAGTTTAAAGATTTCCACAACCTTAAGTTCAAAAACAACAGAAACTCAAGTTCAAAAAACACACAAACTCAAGTTCAACAAAAACCACAAACTCAAGTTCAACAAAAACCACAAACTCAAGTTCAAACACGACACAAACTAGAGTTCAACCAACAACCAAATCTCAAGCTTAACAACTGCCACAACCTCAAGTTAAAAAACCACACAAACTCAAGTTAAACAAACGCCACAAAGTCAAGTTCAAACATGAAACAAACTCATGTTCAAAAACAACACAAACTTAAGTTCAACAAACACAAAAACTCAAGTTCAAACACGACACAAACTCAAGTTCAACTTAAACAAAAACTCAAGTTAAACAAATCCCACAACATCAAGTTCAACAAATTCCACACCCTGAACTTCAAAAAACCAGAAACTCAAGTTCAAACACGACACAAACTCAAGTTCAACAAAAACCAAAAACTCAAGTTCAAACACGAAACTCAAGTTCAACAAACTCAAAAAATAGAGTTCAACAAACACCACAAACTCAAGTTCGAACACGAAACTCAAGTTCAACAAACTCAAAAAATAGAGTTCAACAAACACCACAAACTCAAGTTCGAACACGGCACAAACTAGAGTTCAAATAACACACAAACTCAAGTTTCACAATTTTCACAACCTCAAGTTTAAAAAATTCCACACCCTCAACTTCAGAAATACCACAAACTCAAGTTCAAAATCACCACCAACTCAAGTTCAAAAAGACCAAAAACACAAGTTCAACAAACACAGCAAATCAAGTTCAAAAACACCACAAACTCAAGTGCAAACACGACACAAACTCAAGTTCAAAAACACCACAAACTCAAGTTCAAACACGACACAAACTCAAGTTAAACAAAAACCACAAACTCAAGTTCAAACACGAAACTCAAGTTCAAAATCACCACCAACTCAAGTTCAAAAAGACCACAAACTCAAGTTCAACAAACACACCAAATCAAGTTCAAAAACACCACAAACTAAAGTGCAAACACGACACAAACTCAAGTTCAAAAACACCACTAACTAAAGTTCAGACACAACACAAACTCAAGTTCAGCAAACACACAAAGTCAATTTCAAATACAACAAAAACTCAAGTTCAAACATAACATAAACTAAAGTTCAACAAACACAAAAACTTAAGTTCAAACATGACACAAACTCAAGTTCAACTAAAACACAAACTCAAGTTAAACAATCGCCACAACCTCAAATTCAACAAATTCCACACCCTTAACTTCAAAAAAACCACAAACTCCAGTACAAAAACAACAAAAAATCAAGTTCAACCAACCCCCAAATCTAAAATTTAACAATTGCCACACCCTCAAGTTCAACAAACGCCACAATCTCAAGTTCAAACATGAAACAAACTCATGTTCAAAAACAACACAAACTCAAGTTCAAACACGACATAAACTCAAGTTCAACAAACACAAAAACTCAAGTTCAAACACGACATAAACTCAAGTTCAACTAAAACACAAACTCAAGTTTAACAATTGCCACAACCTCAAGTTCAAAAAATTCCACACTCTCAACTTCAAAAAAACCACAAACTCAAGTTAAAAAACACCACAAACTAAAGTTCACACCGACACAAACTCAAGTTCAACAAAAACCACAAAATCAAGTTCAAACATGAAACTCAAGTTCAAAAACACCACCAACTCAAATTCAGAAACGCCACAAACTCAAGTTCAAAAACAACACAAACTCAAGTTCAACCAACACCCAAATCTCAAGTTTAACAATTGCCACAACCTCAAGTTCAACAAATTCTACCCCCTCAAATTCAAAAATACCACAAAGTCATGTTTAAAAACACCACAAACTCAAGTTCAAACACGACACAAACTCAAGTTCAACTAAAACACAAACTCAAGTTTAACAATTGCCACAACCTGAAGTTCAAAAAATTCCACACTCTCAACTTAAAAAAAAACACAAACTCAAGTTAAAAAACACCACAAACTGAAGTTCAAACACGACACAAACTCAAGTTCAACAAAAACCACAAAATCAAGTTCAAACATGAAACTCAAGTTCAAAAACACCACCAACTCAAGTTCAGAAACGCCACAAACTCAAGTTCAAAAACAACACAAACTCAAGTTCAACCAACACCCAAATCTCAAGTTAAACAATTGCCACAACCTCAAGTTCAACAATCACACAAACTCAAGTTCAAACACGACACAAACTAGAGTTCAAAAACACCAATGACTCAAGTTCAACCAATACCAGATTCTCAAGTTTAACAATTTCCACAACCTCAAGTTCAAAAAAACCACAAACTCAAGTTAAAACACGACACAAACTCAAGTAAAAAAAACCCACAAACTCAAGTCCAACCAACACCCAATTCTCAAGTTAAAAAATCTCCACAACCTCAAGTTCAAAAACATCACAAACTCAAGTTCAAAAACATCACAAACTCAAGTTAAAACACGACACAAACTCAAGTTTAACAAACTCACAAACTAAAGTTCAAACAATACACAATTCTCAAGTTTAAAAATTTCCACAACCTTAAGTTCAAAAACAACAGAAACTCAAGTTCAAAAAACACACAAACTCAAGTTCAAACATGACACATACTCAAGTTAAAAAAAAACACCAAAAACTCAAGTTCAACCAACACCTGATTCTCAAGTTTAAAAATTTTCAAAAACTCAAGTTCAACAAACAAAACGAACTCAAGTTCAAACAGGACACAAACTCAAGTTCAACCAACACCCAAGTCTCAAGTTAAAAAATTGCCACAACCTCAAGTGCAACAAACACACAAACTCAAGTTCAAACACACCACAAACTCAAGGTCAAACACGCCAAAAACTCAAGTTCAAACATGACACTCAAGTTCAACAAACACCACAAACTCAAGTTCAAACACACCTCAAACTCATGTTCAACGAACACAAAAACTTAAGTTCAAACACCACAACATACTCAAGTTCAAACACGACACAAACTCAAGTTCAACAAAATCACAAACTCAAGTTCAACCAATACCTGATTCTCAAGTTTAACAATTTCCACAACTTCAAGTTCAAAAACAACAGAAACTCAAGTTCAATAAACACACAAACTCAAGTTTACCAAACACGCAAATTCAAGGTCAAAAACACCACAAACTCAAGTTCAAACACGACACAAACTCAAGTTCAAAAACACCAATGACTCAAGTTCAACCAATACACAATTCTCAAGTTTAAAAATTTCCACAACCTCAAGTTCAAAAACATCACAAACTCAAGTTCAAACACGACACAAACTCAAGTTTAACAAACACACAAACTAAAGATCAAACAATACACAATTCTCAAGTTTAAAGATTTCCACAACCTTAAGTTCAAAAACAACAGAAACTCAAGTTCAAAAAACACACAAACTTAAGTTCAACAAAAACCACAAACTCAAGTTCAACAAAAACCACAAACTCAAGTTCAAACACGACACAAACTAGAGTTCAACCAACAACCAAATCTCAAGCTTAACAACTGCCACAACCTCAAGTTAAAAAACCACACAAACTCAAGTTAAACAAACGCCACAAAGTCAAGTTCAAACATGAAACAAACTCATGTTCAAAAACAACACAAACTTAAGTTCAACAAACACAAAAACTCAAGTTCAAACACGACACAAACTCAAGTTCAACTTAAACAAAAACTCAAGTTAAACAAATCCCACAACATCAAGTTCAACAAATTCCACACCCTCAACTTCAAAAAACCAGAAACTCAAGTTCAAACACGACACAAACTCAAGTTCAACAAAAACCAAAAACTCAAGTTCAAACACGAAACTCAAGTTCAACAAACTCAAAAAATAGAGTTCAACAAACACCACAAACTCAAGTTCGAACACGAAACTCAAGTTCAACAAACTCAAAAAATAGAGTTCAACAAACACCACAAACTCAAGTTCGAACACGGCACAAACTAGAGTTCAAATAACACACAAACTCAAGTTTCACAATTTTCACAACCTCAAGTTTAAAAAATTCCACACCCTCAACTTCAGAAATACCACAAACTCAAGTTCAAAATCACCACCAACTCAAGTTCAAAAAGACCAAAAACACAAGTTCAACAAACACAGCAAATCAAGTTCAAAAACACCACAAACTCAAGTGCAAACACGACACAAACTCAAGTTCAAAAACACCACAAACTCAAGTTCAAACACGACACAAACTCAAGTTAAACAAAAACCACAAACTCAAGTTCAAACACGAAACTCAAGTTCAAAATCACCACCAACTCAAGTTCAAAAAGACCACAAACTCAAGTTCAACAAACACACCAAATCAAGTTCAAAAACACCACAAACTAAAGTGCAAACACGACACAAACTCAAGTTCAAAAACACCACTAACTAAAGTTCAGACACAACACAAACTCAAGTTCAGCAAACACACAAAGTCAATTTCAAATACAACAAAAACTCAAGTTCAAACATAACATAAACTAAAGTTCAACAAACACAAAAACTTAAGTTCAAACATGACACAAACTCAAGTTCAACTAAAACACAAACTCAAGTTAAACAATCGCCACAACCTCAAATTCAACAAATTCCACACCCTTAACTTCAAAAAAACCACAAACTCCAGTACAAAAACAACAAAAAATCAAGTTCAACCAACCCCCAAATCTAAAATTTAACAATTGCCACACCCTCAAGTTCAACAAACGCCACAATCTCAAGTTCAAACATGAAACAAACTCATGTTCAAAAACAACACAAACTTAAGTTCAACAAACACAAAAACTCAAGTTCAAACACGACACAAACTCAAGTTCAACTAAAACACAAACTCAAGTTTAACAATTGCCACAACCTCAAGTTCAAAAAATTCCACACTCTCAACTTCAAAAAAACCACAAACTCAAGTTAAAAAACACCACAAACTAAAGTTCACACCGACACAAACTCAAGTTCAACAAAAACCACAAAATCAAGTTCAAACATGAAACTCAAGTTCAAAAACACCACCAACTCAAATTCAGAAACGCCACAAACTCAAGTTCAAAAACAACACAAACTCAAGTTCAACCAACACCCAAATCTCAAGTTTAACAATTGCCACAACCTCAAGTTCAACAAATTCTACCCCCTCAAATTCAAAAATACCACAAAGTCATGTTTAAAAACACCACAAACTCAAGTTCAAACACGACACAAACTCAAGTTCAACTAAAACACAAACTCAAGTTTAACAATTGCCACAACCTGAAGTTCAAAAAATTCCACACTCTCAACTTAAAAAAAAACACAAACTCAAGTTAAAAAACACCACAAACTGAAGTTCAAACACGACACAAACTCAAGTTCAACAAAAACCACAAAATCAAGTTCAAACATGGAACTCAAGTTCAAAAACACCACCAACTCAAGTTCAGAAACGCCACAAACTCAAGTTCAAAAACAACACAAACTCAAGTTCAACCAACACCCAAATCTCAAGTTAAACACTTGCCACAACCTCAAGTTCAACAATCACACAAACTCAAGTTCAAACACGACACAAACTAGAGTTCAAAAACACCAATGACTCAAGTTCAACCAATACCAGATTCTCAAGTTTAACAATTTCCACAACCTCAAGTTCAAAAAAACCACAAACTCAAGTTAAAACACGACACAAACTCAAGTAAAAAAAACCCACAAACTCAAGTCCAACCAACACCCAATTCTCAAGTTAAAAAATCTCCACAACCTCAAGTTCAAAAACATCACAAACTCAAGTTCAAAAACATCACAAACTCAAGTTAAAACACGACACAAACTCAAGTTTAACAAACTCACAAACTAAAGTTCAAACAATACACAATTCTCAAGTTTAAAAATTTCCACAACCTTAAGTTCAAAAACAACAGAAACTCAAGTTCAAAAAACACACAAACTCAAGTTCAAACATGACACATACTCAAGTTAAAAAAAAAAACACCAAAAACTAAAGTTCAACCAACACCTGATTCTCAAGTTTAAAAATTTTCAAAAACTCAAGTTCAACAAACAAAACGAACTCAAGTTCAAACAGGACACAAACTCAAGTTCAACCAACACCCAAGTCTCAAGTTAAAAAATTGCCACAACCTCAAGTGCAACAAACACACAAACTCAAGTTCAAACACACCACAAACTCAAGGTCAAACACGCCAAAAACTCAAGTTCAAACATGACACTCAAGTTCAACAAACACCACAAACTCAAGTTCAAACACACCTCAAACTCATGTTCAACGAACACAAAAACTTAAGTTCAAACACCACAACATACTCAAGTTCAAACACGACACAAACTCAAGTTCAACAAAATCACAAACTCAAGTTCAACCAACACCTGATTCTCAAGTTTAACAATTTCCACAACTTCAAGTTCAAAAACAACAGAAACTCAAGTTCAATAAACACACAAACTCAAGTTTACCAAACACGCAAATTCAAGGTCAAAAACACCAAAAACTCAAGTTCAAACACGACACAAACTCAAGTTCAAAAACACCAATGACTCAAGTTCAACCAATACCAGATTCTCAAGTTTAACAATTTCCACAACCTCAAGTTCAAAAACACCACATACTCAAGTTCAAGCACGACACAAACTCCAGTTAAAAAAACGACACAAACTCAAGTTCAACCAACACCTGATTCTCAAGTTTAACAATTTCCACAACTTCAAGTTCAAAAACAACAGAAACTCAAGTTCAATAAACACACAAACTCAAGTTTACCAAACACGCAAATTCAAGGTCAAAAACACCACAAACTAAAGTTCAAACACGACACAAACTCAAGTTCAAAAACACCAAGTTCAAGTTCAACCAATACCAGATTCTCAAGTTTAACAATTTCCACAACCTCATGTTCAAAAACACCACATACTCAAGTTCAAGCACGACACAAACTCCAGTTAAAAAAACGACACAAACTCAAGTTCAACCAACACCTGATTCTCAAGTTTAAAAATTTTCAAAACCTCAAGTTCAAAAAACACTCAAAATAAAGTTAAACAAACATCATGAACAGAAGTTCAGACATGACACAAACTCAAATTCAACCAACACCCAAATCTTAAGTTTAACAATTGCCACCTGCTCAAGTTCAAAAAACGAACAAACTCAAGTTAAAACATTCCAAAACCAAAGTTTATACACGACACAAACTCAAGTTAAAAAGCAACAAAAACTCAAGTTCAACCAATACCCAATTCTCAATTTAAATAATCTCCACAACCTTATGTTCAAAAACATCACAAACTCAAGTTCAAAAACACCACAAACTCAAGTTCAAACATGACACAAACTCAAGTTCAAAAACACCACAAACTTAAGTTCAAACATGACACAAACTCAAGTTCAAAAACACCACAAACATAAGTTCAAACACGACACAAACTCAAGTTGACCAAACACCACAAACTCAAGTTCAAACACGACACAAACTCAAGTTCAAAAACACCAAAAACTCAAGTTCAACCAATACCCAATTCTCAAGTTAAACAATTTCCACAACCTCAAGTTCAAACGACACAAACTCAAACGCTAACAAAAAACAAACTCAAGTTCAAAAACACCACAAACTCAAGTTCAAACACGACACAAACTCAAGTTCAAAAACACCAAAAACTCAAGTTCAACCAATACCCAATTCTCAAGTTAAACAATTTCCACAACCTCAAGTTCAAACGACACAAACTCAAACGCTAACAAAAAACAAACTCAAGTTCAAAAACACCACAAACTCAAGTTCAAACACAACACAAACTCAAGTTCAACAAACACACAAACTCAAGTTAAACCAACATCCTATTCTCAAGTTTAACAATTTCCACAACCCCAAGTTCAAGAACAACAGAAACTCAAGTTTAAAAAACACACAAACTCAAGTTCACCATACAAGCAACTCAAGTTCAAACACGACACAAACTCAAGTAAAAAAAACACATACTGAAGTTCAACAAACACACAAAGTCAAGTTCAAAAACACCAAAAAATCAAGTTCAAAAAACACACAAACTCAAGTTCAACAAAAACCACAAACTCAAGTTCAAACACGAATCAAACTCAAGTTCAAACACAACACAAATTACAGTTCAACCAACAACCAAATCTGAAGCTTAACAATTACCACAACCTCAAGTTAAACAACCACACAAACTCAAGTTCAACAAACGCCACAAAGTCAAGTTCAAACATGAAACAAACTCATGTTCAAAAACAACACAAACTTAAGTTCAACAAACACAAAAACTCAAGTTCAAACACGACACAAACTCAAGTTCAACTTAAACACAAACTCAAGTTTAACAATTCCCACAACATCAAGTTCAACAAATTCCACACCCTCAACTTCAAAAAACCAGAAACTCAAGTTCAAACACAACATAAACTAAAGTTCAACAAACAAGAAAATTCAAGTTCAAACACGACACAAACTCAAGTTCAACTTAAACACAAACTCAAGTTTAACAATTCCCACAACATCAAGTTCAACAAATTCCACACCCTCAACTTCAAAAAAACAGAAACTCAAGTTCAAACACGACACAAACTCAAGTTCAACAAAAACCAAAAACTCAAGTTCAAACACGAAACTCAAGTTCAACAAACACACAAAATAGAGTTAAAAAACACCACAAACTCAAGTACAAACAAGACACAAACTCAAGTTCAACAAACACCACAAACTCAAGTTCAAACACAACACAATCTCAAGTTCAAAAACACCACAAACTCAATTGCAATCACAACACAAACTCAAGTTCAACAAACACCACAAACTCAAGTTCAAACACGGCACAAACTAGAGTTCAAATAACACACAAACTCAAGTTTAACAATTTCCACAACCTCAATTTAAAAAAATTCCACACCCTCAACTTCAAAAATACCACAAACTCAAGTTCAAAATCACCACCAACTCAAGTTCAAAAAGACCAAAAACTCAAGTTCAACAAACACAGCAAATCAAGTTCAAAAACACCACAAACTCAAGTGCAAACACGACACAAACTCATGTTCAAAAACACCACAAACTCAAGTTCAAACATGACACAAACTCAAGTTCAACAAAAACCACAAACTCAAGTTCAAACACAACACAAATTACAGTTCAACCAACAACCAAATCTGAAGCTTAACAATTACCACAACCTCAAGTTAAACAACCACACAAACTCAAGTTCAACAAACGCCACAAAGTCAAGTTCAAACATGAAACAAACTCATGTTCAAAAACAACACAAACTTAAGTTCAACAAACACAAAAACTCAAGTTCAAACACGACACAAACTCAAGTTCAACTTAAACACAAACTCAAGTTTAACAATTCCCACAACATCAAGTTCAACAAATTCCACACCCTCAACTTCAAAAAACCAGAAACTCAAGTTCAAACACAACATAAACTAAAGTTCAACAAACAAGAAAATTCAAGTTCAAACACGACACAAACTCAAGTTCAACTTAAACACAAACTCAAGTTTAACAATTCCCACAACATCAAGTTCAACAAATTCCACACCCTCAACTTCAAAAAAACAGAAACTCAAGTTCAAACACGACACAAACTCAAGTTCAACAAAAACCAAAAACTCAAGTTCAAACACGAAACTCAAGTTCAACAAACACACAAAATAGAGTTAAAAAACACCACAAACTCAAGTACAAACAAGACACAAACTCAAGTTCAACAAACACCACAAACTCAAGTTCAAACACAACACAATCTCAAGTTCAAAAACACCACAAACTCAATTGCAATCACAACACAAACTCAAGTTCAACAAACACCACAAACTCAAGTTCAAACACGGCACAAACTAGAGTTCAAATAACACACAAACTCAAGTTTAACAATTTCCACAACCTCAATTTAAAAAAATTCCACACCCTCAACTTCAAAAATACCACAAACTCAAGTTCAAAATCACCACCAACTCAAGTTCAAAAAGACCAAAAACTCAAGTTCAACAAACACAGCAAATCAAGTTCAAAAACACCACAAACTCAAGTGCAAACACGACACAAACTCATGTTCAAAAACACCACAAACTCAAGTTCAAACATGACACAAACTCAAGTTCAACAAACACACAAAGTCAATTTCAAATACAACAAAAACTCAAGTTCAAACACAACATAAACTAAAGTTCAACAAACACAAAAACTGAAGTTCAAACATGACACAAACTCAAGTTCAACTAAAACACAAACTCAAGTATAACAATTGCCACAACCTTAAATTCAACAAATTCCACACCCTCAACTTCAAAAAAACCACAAACTCCAGTACAAAAACAACAAAAAATCAAGTTCAACCAACCCCCAAATCTAAAATTTAACAATTGCCACACCCTCAAGTTCAACAAACACACAAACTCAAGTTCAACAAACGCCACAATCTCAAGTTCAAACATGAAACAAACTCATGTTCCAAAACAACACAAACTTAAGTTCAACAAACACAAAAACTCAAGTTCAAACACGACACAAACTCAAGTTCAACTAAAACACAAACTCAAGTTTAACAATTGCCACAACCTCAAATTCAACAAATTCCACACCCTCAACTTAAAGAAAACCACAAACTCAAGTTAAAAAACACCTCAAACTGAAGTTCAAACACGACACAAACTCAAGTTCAACAAAAACCACAAAATCAAGTTCAAGCATGGAACTCAAGTTCAAAAACACCACCAACTCAAATTCAGAAACGCCACAAACTCAAGTTCAAAAACAACACAAACTCATGTCTAACCAACACCCAAATCTCAAGTTTAACAATTGCCACAACCTCAAGTTTCACAAATTCTATCCCCTCAACTTCAAAAATACTACAAAGTCATGTTTAAAAAAACCACAAACTCAAGTTCAAACACGAAACAAACTCAGGTTCAACTAAAACACAAACTCAAGTTTAACAATTGCCACAACCTCAAGTTCAAAAAATTCCACACTCTCAACTTCAAAAAAAACCACAAACTCAAGTTCAAAATCACCACCAACTCAGGTTCAAAAAGACCAAAAACTCAGGTTCAACAAACACAGCAAATCAAGTTCAAAAACACCACAAACTCAAGTGCAAACACGACACAAACTCAAGTTCAAACATGACACAAACTCAAGTTCAACAAAAACCACAAACTCAAGTTCAAACACGAAACTCAAGTTCAAAATCACCACCAACTCAAGTTCAAAAAGACCACAAACTCAAGTTCAACAAACACACCAAATCAAGTTCAAAAACACCACAAACTCAAGTGCAAACACGACACAAACTCAAGTTCAAAAACACCACTAACCCAAGTTCAGACACAACACAAACTCAAGTTCAACAAACACACAAAGTCAATTTCAAATACAACAAAAACTCAAGTTCAAACACAACATAAACTAAAGTTCAACAAACACAAAAACTGAAGTTCAAACATGACACAAACTCAAGTTCAACTAAAACACAAACTCAAGTATAACAATTGCCACAACCTCAAGTTCAACAAATTCCACACCCTCAACTTCAAAAATCCACAAACTCCAGTTCAAAAACAACAAAAACTCAAGTTCAACCAACACCCAAATCTAAAGTTTAACAATTGCCACACCCTCAAGTTCAACAAACACACAAACTCAAGTTCAACAGACGCCACAATCTCAAGTTCAAACATGAAACAAACTCATGTTCCAAAACAACACAAACTTAAGTTCAACAAACACAAAAACTCAAGTTCAAACACGACACAAACTCAAGTTCAACTAAAACACAAACTCAAGTTTAACAATTGCCACAACCTCAAATTCAACAAATTCCACACCCTCAACTTAAAGAAAACCACAAACTCAAGTTAAAAAACACCTCAAACTGAAGTTCAAACACGACACAAACTCAAGTTCAACAAAAACCACAAAATCAAGTTCAAGCATGGAACTCAAGTTCAAAAACACCACCAACTCAAGTTCAGAAACGCCACAAACTCAAGTTCAAAAACAACACAAACTCATGTCTAACCAACACCCAAATCTCAAGTTTAACAATTGCCACAACCTCAAGTTTCACAAATTCTATCCCCTCAACTTCAAAAATACTACAAAGTCATGTTTAAAAAAACCACAAACTCAAGTTCAAACACGAAACAAACTCAGGTTCAACTAAAACACAAACTCAAGTTTAACAATTGCCACAACCTCAAGTTCAAAAAATTCCACACTCTCAACTTCAAAAAAAACCACAAACTCAAGTTCAAAATCACCACCAACTCAAGTTCAAAAAGACCAAAAACTCAGGTTCAACAAACACAGCAAATCAAGTTCAAAAACACCACAAACTCAAGTGCAAACACGACACAAACTCAAGTTCAAAAACACCACAAATTCAAGTTCAACCAACACCTGATTCTCAAGTTTAACAATTTCCACAACTTCAAGTTCAAAAACAACAGAAACTCAAGTTCAATAAACACAGAAACTCAAGTTTACCAAACACGCAAATTCAAGGTCAAAAACACCACAAACTCAAGTTCAAACACGACACAAACTCAAGTTCAAAAACACCAATGACTCAAGTTCAGTCAATACCAGATTCTCAAGTTTAACAATTTCCACAACCTCAAGTTCAAAAACACCACATACTCAAGTTCAAAAACTACACAAACTCCAGTTAAAAAAACGACACAATCTCAAGTTCAACCAACACCTGATTCTCAAGTTTAAAAATTTTCAAAACCTCAAGTTAAAAAAACACACAAAATAAAGTTAAACAAACATCATGAACACAAGTTCAGAAATGACACAAACTCAAATTCAACCAACACCCAAATCTTAAGTTTAACAATTGCCACCTGCTCAAGTTCAACAAACACACAAACTCAAGCTAAAACACACCAAAACCAAAGTTTATACACGACACAAACTCAAGTGAAAAAACAACAAAAACTCAAGTTCAACCAATACCCAATTCTCAATTTAAAAAATCTCCACAACCTTATGTTCAAAAACATCACAAACTCAAGTTCAAAAACACCAAAAACTCAAGTTCAACCAATACCCAATTCTCAAGTTAAACAATTTCCACAACCTCAAGTTCAAACGACACAAACTCAAACTCTAACAAAAAACAAACTCAAGTTCAAAAACACCAAAAACTCAAGTTCAAACACAACACAAACTCAAGTTCAACAAACACACAAACTCAAGTTAAACCAACATCTTATTCTCAAGTTTAACAATTTCCACAACCCCAAGTTCAAGAACAACAGAAACTCAAGTTTAAAAAAAACACAAACTCAAGTTCACCATACAAGCAACTCAAGTTCAAACACGACACAAACTCAAGTTAAAAAAAACCACATACTCAAGTTCAACAAACACACAAAGTCAAGTTCAAAAACACCAAAAAATCAAGTTCAAATACGACACAAACTAAAGTTCAACCAACAACCAAATCTCAAGCTTAACAATTGCCACAACCTCAAGTTAAACAACCACACAAACTCAAGTTCAACAAACGCCACAAAGTCAAGTTCAAACATGAAACAAAACCATGTTCAAAAACAACACAAACTTAAGTTCAAAAAACACAAAAACTCAAGTTCAAACACGACACAAACTCAAGTTCAACTTAAACACAAACTCAAGTTTAACAATTCCCACAACATCAAGTTCAACAAATTCCACACCCTCAACTTAAAAAAAACCAGAAACTCAACAAATGTCACAGTTTCAAGTTCTACCGACACCCAAATCTCAATTTTAAGAATTGCAAAAACCTCAAATTCAAACACGCCACAAACTCAAGTTCAACAAATACTCAAACTCAAGTTCAAACACGACACAAACTCAAGTTCAAACACCCCACAAACTCAAGTTCAAAAACACCACGACCTCAAGTTCAAAAAACACACAAAGTCAAGTTCAAAAACACCACAAACTTAAGTTCAAACACGACTCAAACTCAAGTTCAACAAACACACAAACTCAAGTTCAAACACGACACAAACTCAAGTTAAACGAACACCACAAACTCAAGTTCAATAAATGTGAAAATTTTAAGTTCAACCAACACCCAAATCTCAATTTTAAAAATTGCAACAACTTCAAATTCAAACATGCTACAAACCCAAGTTCAACTTACACACAAACTAAAGTTCAAACACCCCACAAACTCAAGTTCAAAAAACACACAAACTCAAGTTCAAAAACACCACAAACTAAAGTTCAAACACGATAGAAACTCAAGTTCAAAAAACAGCACAAACTCAGGTTCAAACACGCCACAAAATCAAGTTCAAACACGCCACAAAATCAAGTTCAAACATGCCACAAACTCAAGTTCAATAAATGTGAAAATTTTAAGTTCAACCAACACCCAAATCTCAAGTTCAACAAACACACAACCTCAAGTTCAAAAACCCCACAAACTCAAGTTCAAAAACACCACAAACTCAAGTTCAAACACGACACAAACTCAAGTTCAAAAAACACCATAAACTCAAGTTCAACAAACACCCATTTCTAAAGTTTAAAAATTTCCACTACCTTCAGTTCACAAAAAACCACAAACTCATGTTCAAACACGCAACAAACTCAAGTTAAAAAAAACTCAAACTCAAGTTCAAACACGCCACAAATTCAAGTTGAAACACGACACAAACTCAAGTTCAAAAAACACACAAACTCAAGTTCAACGAACACCACAAACTCAAGTTCAATAAATGTGAAAATTTTAAGTTCAACCAACACCCAAATCTCAAGTTTAACAAATGCCACAACCTCAAGTTCAAAAACACCATAAAAGATGCCAAAAACTCAAGTTCAAAAACACCATAAAATCAAGTTCAAAGATGCAAAAAACTCAAGTTCAACAAACACACAACCTCAAGTTCAAAAACACCATAAACCCAAGTTAAAAGATGCCAAAAACTCAAGTTCAAAAACACCATAAAATCAAGTTCAAAGATGTCAAAAACTCAAGTTCAACAAACACACAAACTCAAGTTCAAAAACCCCACAAACTCAAGTTCAAACACGACACAACCTCAAGTTCAAAAACCACCACAAACTCAAGTTCAAAAACACCACAAACTCAAGTTCAAAAACACCACAAACTCAAGTTCAAACACGACACAAACTCAAGTTCAAAAAACACCATAAACTCAAGTTCAACAAATACCCATTTCTAAAGTTTAAAAATTTCCACTACCTTCAGTTCACAAAAAAACACAAACTCATGTTCAAACACGCAACAAACTTAAGTTCAAACACGCCACAAACTCAAGTTAAAAAAAACACAAACTCAAGTTCAAACACGCCACAAATTCAAGTTGAAACACGACACAAACTCAAGTTCAAAAAACACACAAACTCAAGTTCAACGAACACCACAAACTCAAGTTCAATAAATGTGAAAATTTTAAGTTCAACCAACACCCAAATCTCAATTTTAAAAATTTGCTACAACCTCAAATTCAAACACGCTACAAACCCAAGTTCAACTTACACACAAACTAAAGTTCAAACACCCCACAAACTCAAGTTCAAAAAACACACAAACTCAAGTTCAAAAACACCACAAACTAAAGCTCAAACACGATAGAAACTCAAGTTCAAAAAACAGCACAAACTCAGGTTCAAACACGCCACAAAATCAAGTTCAAACACGCCACAAACACAAGTTCAAACATGCCACAAACTCAAGTTCAATAAATGTGAAAATTTTAAGATCAACCAACACCCAAATCTCAAGTTTAACAAATGCCACAACATCAGGTTCAAAAACACCATAAAATCAAGTTCAAAGATGCCAAAAACTCAAGTTCAACAAACAGACAAACTCAAGTTCAAAAACACCATAAACCCAAGTTAAAAGATGCCAAAAACTCAAATTCAAAAACACCATAAAATCAAGTTCAAAGATGCCAAAAACTCAAGTTCAACAAACACACAAACTCAAGTTCAAAAACCCCACAAACTCAAGTTCAAACACGCCACAAATTCAAGTTGAAACACGACACAAACTCAAGTTCAAAAAACACACAAACTCAAGTTCAACGAACACCACAAACTCAAGTTCAATAAATGTGAAAATTTTAAGTTCAACCAACACCCAAATCTCAATTTTAAAAATTTGCAACAACCTCAAATTCAAACACGCTACAAACCCAAGTTCAACTTACACACAAACTAAAGTTCAAACACCCCACAAACTCAAGTTAAAAAAACACACAAACTCAAGTTCAAAAACACCACAAACTAAAGCTCAAACACGATAGAAACTCAAGTTCAAAAAACAGCACAAACTCAGGTTCAAACACGCCACAAAATCAAGTTCAAACACGCCACAAACACAAGTTCAAACATGCCACAAACTCAAGTTCAATAAATGTGAAAATTTTAAGATCAACCAACACCCAAATCTCAAGTTTAACAAATGCCACAACATCAGGTTCAAAAACACCATAAAATCAAGTTCAAAGATGCCAAAAACTCAAGTTCAACAAACAGACAAACTCAAGTTCAAAAACACCATAAACCCAAGTTAAAAGATGCCAAAAACTCAAATTCAAAAACACCATAAAATCAAGTTCAAAGATGCCAAAAACTCAAGTTCAACAAACACACAAACTCAAGTTCAAAAACCCCACAAACTCAAGTTCAAACACGACACAACCTCAAGTTCAAAAACCACCACAAACTCAAGTTCAAAAACACCACAAACTCAAGTTCAAAAACACCACAAACTCAAGTTCAAACACGACACAAACTCAAGTTCAAAAAACACCATAAACTCAAGTTAAACAAACACCCAATTCTAAAGTTTAAAAATTTCCACTACCTTCAGTTCACAAAAAACCACAAACTCATGTTCAAACACGCAACAAACTCAAGTTCAAACATGCCACAAACTCAAGTTAAAAAAGAACACAAACTCAAGTTCAAACACGCCACAAATTCAAGTTGAAACACGACACAAACTCAAGTTCAAAAAACACACAAACTCAAGTTCAAACATGACACAAACTCAAGTTCAAAAAACACACAAACTCAAGTTCAAACATGACACAAACTCAAGTTCAACGAACACCACAAACTCAAGTTTAATAAATGTGAAAATTTTAAGTTCAACCAACAACCAAATCTCAAGTTTAAAAACAGCAACAACCTCAAATTCAAACACGCAACAAACTCAAATTCAACTAACACATCAACTCAAGTTCAAAATCACCACAAACTCAAGTTCAAACATGACACAAACTCAAGTAAAAAAAAAAACAAACTCAAAATCAAAAAATGTCTAACTCTTAAGTTCAACCAACACGCAAATCTCAAGTTTAACAATTGCAAACACCTCAAATTCAAAAAAGCCACAAACTCAAGATCAAAAACACCACAAACTCAAGTTCAACGAACACCAATAACTCAAGTTCAAAGACGCCATAAACTCAAGTTCAACAAACACACAAACTCTAGTTAAAAACAACCACAAACTCAAGTTCAAACACGACACAAACTCAAGTTCAAAAACACCACAAACCCAAGTTCAAACATGACACAAACTCAAGTTCAACAAAAACCAAAAACTCTAAATCAACAAATGTCTAACTTTTATGTTCAACCAACACCCAAATCTCAAGTTTAACAATTGCCACAACCTCAAGTTCAAAAAAACTATAAACTCAAGTTCAAACACGCCACAAATTCAATTTCAAAAATGACACAAACTCAAGTTAAAAAAAAACACCTGATTCCCAAGTTTAACAATTTCCACCTCAAGTTCAAAAAACACCACAAACTCAAGTTCAATAAAAGTGAAAAATTTAAGTTCAACCAACACCCAAATCTCAAGTTTAACAGGTGCAACAACCTCAAGTACAAATACGACACAAACTCAAGTTCAAACACCCCACAAACTCAAGATCAAAAACACCACGACCTCAAGTTCAAAAAACACACAGTCAAGTTCAAAAACACCACAAACTGAAGTTCAAACACGACACAAAGTCAAGTTTAACAAACACCACAAACTCAAGTTCAGACATGACACAAACTCAAGTTCAACAAAAACCAAAAACTCAAAATCAACAAATGTCTAACTTTTATGTTCAACCAACACCCAAATCTCAAGTTTATCAATTGCCACAACCTCAAGTTCAAAAACAACACAAACTCAAGTTCAAACACGCCACAAACTCAAATTCAAACACGACACAAACTCAAGTTCAAAAAACACACAAATTCAAGTTCAACCAATACCCAATTCTCAATTTTAACAATTTCCAAAACCTTAAGTTCAAAAAACAATACAAATTCAAGTTCAACAAACACCCGATCCTCAAGTTCAACAATTTCCACAAATTCAAATTCAAAAACACCACATCCTCAAGTTCAAAATACATCACAAGCTCAAGTTTAAACGCGCCAAAAACTCAAGTTCAAACACGCCACAAACTCAAGTTCAAAAACACCACAAACTCAAGTTCAAACACGACAAAAACTCAAGTTCAAACACGACACAAAGTGTTTTAAGGCAGCTTATCAAGTTAACCATTCAATTATTTTCGTAACTTTTGTACATTGAGTTTAAACTTTAAATGATATGTTTAAGCATTTTAAATTGTCTTTAGATTAAACTAAACTTTTAAATTGTAAAAGGTAAGTAAATTCCAAGGTAAGTAAATTTTAAAATTTTAGCTTAGACCTTCTTCTTAAGCAAATAAGCAAGATAAATTAGGGCCTTTTCAAATAAAGTTCAACCAACAAATAAGTACATAAACTTAAAGCAAATGTTGCTGCAATGCAATACTGCCTTTTCCCTCAATACATTTTAACAGTAGCACTTAACAAGCAGCATCTCTAACATATTTCAAACACACAAGGTGTGTTGTCTTCCTTATTTTATAATAATCAGACGAGGCGTGATTACTCAGTTTGCATGTTTACTTAACAACACCTGCATACCAACAGTACAGAGCTACGTTCATCGCTTGCTCTTGAACACTGCTGCATGCTGGGTAATGGAGTTTTAGAGCTACCATGCTCATAACATCACATCCTTCTCCCTATAAAGAAACGATATTTACCCCTTAAAACATAGCCATCTTAAAGTGCCTTTTGTCAACAACTTTTCACTTTAAACACAATTTTTTTTTAAATAAATTATAAAGTGTCTCTAAGCATCAAAACACCAACTTAGAATCATATCAACATTTTTTTTTTTTTACACCAACATTTCTCTCTTTTTTTTTTTTTTTTCACTTTTTGTGCATAAACATGAACTGAAAGGTCCTGGGTGTTCGGCAACTTGCAATACTAAAGCAACTCCTTAGCAACTCTCAATCAACCTCTTAGGTGGCTGAACATGCCTCTTAGGTCTAGTTAGTTTTTCGACACTTGGCAATGTCGACAGTTTGGAAGGTGTTGCAGCAGCCGGTGATGCAGACGCTGCTGTCAGACCACTGTTAGTTAACTCTTTAGATTCAGCCGTGTCCTGCTGAACCATCTCCTGAGCTGTAGTGTCTTTTCCAGTCGGCTGTAGTTGAAGATCCGTGCGATTCCTCCTCAGAGACGTTCCATTCTCCATTTGGATCCTGAAGGAGCGTGGAGCAACTTCCTCCTCCACCTGTCCCTCTTGTCTCCATGTGCCTGTAGAGATGTCCCTGAGACGCACCATATCTCCAGGCTTCAGCATTGGCAGGTGTTTTGCCGTCCGATCATACAGCTGTTTTTGTTTTGCTTTTTGTTCCTCCTTTACTTTTCTGACTTTGTGTGCGCTTTTGGGCGTCAGCAAGTCCTCATTCACTGGTAGGTTGGAGCGAATACGTTGACCCATCAGCATTTGGGCTGGTGACAGTCCATTCTGTAGAGGCACACTCCTGTAGACCAGTAAGCTTTTCTGAAAGTCATCTCTGTCCTGTGCTTTTTTCATCATGTTTTTTACTATTTTCACAGAACTCTCTGCCAAGCCGTTGGACTTTGGATAGGTTGGACTTGACGTAGAGTGTTGAAACCCCCATTCTTTGGCAAAGGCCTCAAACTCAGAGCTGGCAAACTGGGGCCCGTTGTCCTAAAACAGTTCACATGGGACACCATGTCTGGCGAAGACAGTCTTGAGGTAGCTGATGACTGCCTTGCTTGATGTGGACTGCAGCACTCCGACTTCTGGATAGTTAGAAAAGTAGTCGGTGACCACTATGTAACTCTTTCCGTCACAGTCAAATAGATCAGTACCAACCTTGTAGTAAGGTCTGTGGGGCACTGGATGAGTCATCAGCGGCTCAGCTTGTTGTTTTGGCCTGTGTGTGCGGCAAAGTTCACATGACGCTGTTGTCTGGCTGATATCTTGGTTGATTCTTTGCCAGTACATTACTTCTCTCGCTCGGCGTTTACATTTGACTTCTCCCAGGTGACCTTCATGTATCTTTTGGAGCATTTGTTTACGTAGGGAGGATGGAATAACTAATTTGCTCCCCTTCATCACTATGTCATCCACCACAGTGAGCTCTGCTCTGCAGTTCCAGTAGTCTTGTATTTTCGTGGGACAATCCTTTTTGTTTTCTGGCCATCCTTTCTGTATTACGCTCTTGAGTTCTTTCATTGTTTCATCTGCATTTGTCTCCCTCTGTATTTGTTCTGTTCTGTCTGCTGTTACTGGCAGAGACTTCACCATCATGTCCACATATGCTTGTATTTCTGCACTTTTCTCGCTGTCTGCACGTTTCTCCTTATCCACTGCTCTAGACAAGGTGTCGGCGGTATATATGTATTTCCCTTGTGTGTATATCATGTGCACGTCGTATTTTTGCAACCTGATTACCATGCGCTGTATCCGTATAGGACAGTTGTTCAGAGGTTTGGACATGATGGACACCACAGGTTTATGATCAGTTTCAACTTCAAAAGCTTGACCATAAACGTATTGGTGGAAACGCTCACATGCATACAAGCTCGCTAACAGTTCCTTTTCAATTTGAGCGTACCTGGATTCTGCACCTGTCAAGGCTCGAGATGCATAGGCGACAGGAAGCCACTGCTCATCATGTTGCTGCAACAGCACTGCTCCCAGGCCGAACTGTGACGCATCCGCTGAGATCCTTGTACTTCTCTCTGGGTCATAGAATTTTAACACGGGTTCCTGTGTCAGAATCTCTTTCAGTTTCACAAAGCATTGTTCCTGTTCATGGGACCAGTTCCATTCATTCTTTTGTTCAAGAAGACTCCTGAGAGGTGCTGACTGCGCTGACAGTTGTGGGACAAACTTGGCGAGATAGGTGACCATCCCTAGAAATCGTCTGACTTCATCTTTGTTTTTTGGTCTTTCTATATTGTTGATTGCTGACGTTTTTCTCGGGTCTGGCTTCGCTCCCTCTTCACCGACAATGTCTCCCACAAAGGTAAGTGTTTTCACTTCGAACTCACATTTGTCTTTGTTAAGCTTCAGATTCACTTCCCTTGTCTTGTCTAGCACTTGTCTCAGTCTTTCATCGTGTTCTTCTCGAGTAGACCCCCAGACTATGACGTCATCCATCATTGTCTCTACTCCTGGTATGTGCTCAAAAATCATGTGAAAAGTCTTATGGTAGACTTCAAGCGCTGTCAAGATACCGTATGGCAGACGAAGAAACCTGTACCTGCCCTCGGGTGTGTTGAACGTGCACAGCCTCGAACTCTCCTCATCTAGCCTCAGCTGCCAGAAACCTGACGAAGAGTCTAGTTTACTGAACCATTTAGCTCCAGCAAACTGTGCCATGATTTCTTCTCTGGTTGGTAACTTGAAATGTTCTCTTTTTATTGCTCTGTTTAAGTCCCTTGGGTCCAAGCACATTCTCAGAGCACCTGCATTCTTTGGCACAACAACCAGTGAGTGTAGGGGAATGTCTTCATACATTTAGGTTAAGAAATATAGAGTAATTATCTTTTAGTAAGAAGCTACAAATAATCTAGGTTGGCCTGCTCCTGCTGCCCCACGACCATGAGATTGTAAGCAAGGCTGTCTTGCAGGAGCCCAAACTATCTACTACTACAACGCCACAAACTCAAGTTCAAACAACACCCGATTCTCAAGTTTAACAATTTCCACAACCTCAAGTTCAAAAAACAAACAAACTCAAGTTCAAATACCCCACAAACTCAAGTTCAACCATCACCCAAATCTTAAGTTTAACAATTGCCACAACCTCAAGTTCAAAAACAACACAAACTCAAGTTCAAACACGAAACAAACTCAAGTTCAAAAAACACCACAAACTCAAGTTCAAACAACACCCGATTCTCAAGTTTAACAATTTCCACAACCTCAAGTTCAAATACCCCACAAACTCAAGTTCAACCATCACCCAAATCTTAAGTTTAACAATTGCCACAACCTCAAGTTCAACAAACACCACAAACTCAAATTCAACAATTGCCACCAAGTAAAGTTCACTAAAAACCACAGACTCAAGTTCAACAATTGCCAAAAAATCAAGCCAAACAAACTCATGTTCAAAGTCGCAATTCAAGTTCAACAAACACACAAACTCAAGATCAAAAACACCACAATCTCAAGTTCAAACACGACACAAACTCAAATTCAAACACGCCACAAACTCAAGTTCAACAAACACACAAACTCAAGTTCAATCAACCCTCGATTCTCAAGTTTAACAATTTCCAAAACCTCAAGTTCAAAAAATACCACAAACTCAAGTTCAAACACACCACAAACTCAAATATAAACACGTCACAAACTCAAGTTAAAAAAAAACACAATCTCAAGTTCACACACGACACAAACTCAAGTTCAACAAAGACCACAAACTCAACTTCAACAAAAGTCAAAGTTTCAAGTTCAACCAACACCCAAACCTCAAGTTTAACAAATGCCACAACCTCAAGTTCAAACACGCCACAAACTAAAGTTCAAACACGCCACAAACTCAAGTTCAAACACGCCACAAACAAGTTCAAAAACACCACAAACTCAAGTTCAAAGACGCCACAAACTCAAGTTCAAAAAACACACACTCAAGTTCAAAAACACCACAAGCTCAAGTTCAAAAAACACCACAAACTCAAGTTCAAACACGCCACAAACTCAAGTTCAAACATGCCACAAACCCAAGTTCAAAAACCACACAAACTCAAGTTAAAAAAAACACAATCTCAAGTTCAAACACGACACAAACTCAAGTTGAACAAAGACCACAAACTCAAATTCAACAAATGTCAAAGTTTCAAGTTCAACCAACACCCAAACCTCAAGTATAACAAATTCCACAACCTCAAGTTCAAACACGCCACAAACTCAAGTTCAAACACGCCACAAACTCAAGTTCAAAAACACCACAAACTCAAGTTCAAACACGACACAAACTCAAATTCAAACATGCCACAAACTCAAGTTCAACAAACACACAAACTCAAGTTCAATCAACCCTCGATTCTCAAGTTTAACAATTTCCAAAACCTCAAGTTCAAAAAATACCACAAACTCAAGTTCAAACACACCACAAACTCAAATACAAACACGTCACAAACTCAAGTTAAAAAAAAAACACAATCTCAAGTTCACACACGACACAAACTCAAGTTCAACAAAGACCACAAACTCAACTTCAACAAAAGTCAAAGTTTCAAGTTCAACCAACACCCAAACCTCAAGTTTAACAAATGCCACAACCTCAAGTTCAAACACGCCACAAACTAAAGTTCAAACACGCCACAAACAAGTTCAAACACGCCACAAAAACACCACAAACTCAAGTTCAAAGACGCCACAAACTCAAGTTCAAAAAACACACACTCAAGTTCAAAAACACCACAAGCTCAAGTTCAAAAAACACCACAAACTCAAGTTCAAACACGCCACAAACTCAAGTTCAAACATGCCACAAACCCAAGTTCAAAAACCACACAAACTCAAGTTAAAAAAAATACAATCTCAAGTTCAAACACGACACAAACTCAAGTTGAACAAAGACCACAAACTCAAATTCAACAAATGTCAAAGTTTCAAGTTCAACCAACACCCAAACCTCAAGTATAACAAATTCCACAACCTCAAGTTCAAACACGCCACAAACTCAAGTTCAAACACGCCACAAACTCAAGTTCAAAAACACCACAAACTCAAGTTCAAACACGACACAAACTCAAGTTCAAACACACCACAAACTCAAGTTAAAAAAAACACAATCTCAAGTTCAAACACGACACAAACTCAAGTTCAACAAACACCACAAACTCAAGTTCAACAATTGTCAAAGTTTCAAGTTCAACCAACACCGAAATCTCAAGTTTAACAAATGCAACAACCTCAAATTCAACCACGCCACAAACTCAACTTCAACAAACACACAAACTCAGGTTCAAAAACACCACAACCTCAAGTTCAAAAAACACGACAAACTCAAGTTCAAACATAACACAAACTAAAGTTCAATGAACACCACAAACTCGAGTTCAACAATTGTGAAAATTTTTAAGTTCAACCAACACCCAAAACTCAAGTTTAACAATTGCCACAAGCTCAAGTCCAAAAACAACACAAATTCAAGTTCAAACACACCACAAACTGAAGTTTAACAAATGCCACAAACTCAAGTTCAACCAACACCCAATTCTTAAGTTTAACAATTTCCACAACCTCAAGTTCAAAAACACCACAAACTCAAGTTGAGAGACGCCAAAAACTCAAGTTTAACAAACACACAAACTCAAGTTCAAAAACACCACAAACTCAAGTTCAAACACGACAAAAACTCAAGTTCAAAAAACACCACAAACTCAAGTTCAACCAACCCCTGATTCTCAAGTTTAACAATTTCCAAAACCTCAAGTTCAAAAAATACCACAAACTCAAGTTCAAACACACCACAAACTCAAGTTCAAACACGCCACAAACTCAAGTTCAAAAACCACACAAACTCAAGTAAAAAAAACACAATCTCAAGTTCAAACACGACACAAACTCAAGTTCAACAAACACCACAAATTTAAGTTCAACAAATGTCAGTTTCAAGTTCAACCAACACCCAAACCTCAAGTTTAACAATTGCAAAAACCTCAAATTCAAACACACCACAAACTCAAATACAAACACGTCACAAACTCAAGTAAAAAAAAAACACAATCTCAAGTTCACACACGACACAAACTCAAGTTCAACAAAGACCACAAACTCAACTTCAACAAAAGTCAAAGTTTCAAGTTCAACCAACACCCAAACCTCAAGTTTAACAAATGCCACAACCTCAAGTTCAAACACGCCACAAACTAAAGTTCAAACACGCCACAAACTCAAGTTCAAACACGCCACAAACAAGTTCAAAAACACCACAAACTCAAGTTCAAAGACGCCACAAACTCAAGTTCAAAAAACACACACTCAAGTTCAAAAACACCACAAGCTCAAGTTCAAAAAACACCACAAACTCAAGTTCAAACACGCCACAAACTCAAGTTCAAACATGCCACAAACCCAAGTTCAAAAACCACACAATCTCAAGTTCAAACACGACACAATCTCAAGTTCAAACACGACACAAACTCAAGCTGAACAAAGACCACAAACTCAAATTCAACAAATGTCAGTTTCAAGTTCAACCAACACCCAAACCTCAAGTATAACAAATTCCACAACCTCAAGTTCAAACACGCCACAAACTCAAGTTCAAACACGCCACAAACTCAAGTTCAAAAACACCACAAACTCAAGTTCAAACATGACACAAACTCAAGTTCAAACACACCACAAACTCAAGTTAAAAAAAACACAATCTCAAGTTCAAACACGACACAAACTCAAGTTCAACAAACACCACAAACTCAAGTTCAACAATTGTCAAAGTTTCAAGTTCAACCAACACCGAAATCTCAAGTTTAACAAACACACAAACTCAAGTTCAAAAACACCACAAACTCAAGTTCAAACACGACAAAAACTCAAGTTCAAAAAACACCACAAACTCAAGTTCAACCAACCCCTGATTCTCAAGTTTAACAATTTCCAAAACCTCAAGTTCAAAAAATACCACAAACTCAAGTTCAAACACACCACAAACTCAAGTTCAAACACGCCACAAACTCAAGTTCAAAAACCACACAAACTCAAGTAAAAAAAACACAATCTCAAGTTCAAACACGACACAAACTCAAGTTCAACAAACACCACAAATTTAAGTTCAACAAATGTCAGTTTCAAGTTCAACCAACACCCAAACCTCAAGTTTAACAATTGCAAAAACCTCAAATTCAAACACACCACAAACTCAAATACAAACACGTCACAAACTCAAGTAAAAAAAAAACACAATCTCAAGTTCACACACGACACAAACTCAAGTTCAACAAAGACCACAAACTCAACTTCAACAAAAGTCAAAGTTTCAAGTTCAACCAACACCCAAACCTCAAGTTTAACAAATGCCACAACCTCAAGTTCAAACACGCCACAAACTAAAGTTCAAACACGCCACAAACTCAAGTTCAAACACGCCACAAACAAGTTCAAAAACACCACAAACTCAAGTTCAAAGACGCCACAAACTCAAGTTCAAAAAACACACACTCAAGTTCAAAAACACCACAAGCTCAAGTTCAAAAAACACCACAAACTCAAGTTCAAACACGCCACAAACTCAAGTTCAAACATGCCACAAACCCAAGTTCAAAAACCACACAATCTCAAGTTCAAACACGACACAATCTCAAGTTCAAACACGACACAAACTCAAGCTGAACAAAGACCACAAACTCAAATTCAACAAATGTCAGTTTCAAGTTCAACCAACACCCAAACCTCAAGTATAACAAATTCCACAACCTCAAGTTCAAACACGCCACAAACTCAAGTTCAAACACGCCACAAACTCAAGTTCAAAAACACCACAAACTCAAGTTCAAACATGACACAAACTCAAGTTCAAACACACCACAAACTCAAGTTAAAAAAAACACAATCTCAAGTTCAAACACGACACAAACTCAAGTTCAACAAACACCACAAACTCAAGTTCAACAATTGTCAAAGTTTCAAGTTCAACCAACACCGAAATCTCAAGTTTAACAAATGCAACAACCTCAAATTCAACCACGCCACAAACTCAACTTCAACAAACACACAAACTCAGGTTCAAAAACACCACAACCTCAAGTTCAAAAAACACGACAAACTCAAGTTCAAACATAACACAAACTAAAGTTCAATGAACACCACAAACTCGAGTTCAACAATTGTGAAAATTTTTAAGTTCAACCAACACCCAAAACTCAAGTTTAACAATTGCCACAAGCTCAAGTCCAAAAACAACACAAATTCAAGTTCAAACACACCACAAACTGAAGTTTAACAAATGCCACAAACTCAAGTTCAACCAACACCCAATTCTTAAGTTTAACAATTTCCACAACCTCAAGTTCAAAAACACCACAAACTCAAGTTGAGAGACGCCAAAAACTCAAGTTTAACAAACACACAAACTCAAGTTCAAAAACACCACAAACTCAAGTTCAAACACGACAAAAACTCAAGTTCAAAAAACACCACAAACTCAAGTTCAACCAACCCCTGATTCTCAAGTTTAACAATTTCCAAAACCTCAAGTTCAAAAAATACCACAAACTCAAGTTCAAACACACCACAAACTCAAGTTCAAACACGCCACAAACTCAAGTTCAAAAACCACACAAACTCAAGTAAAAAAAACACAATCTCAAGTTCAAACACGACACAAACTCAAGTTCAACAAACACCACAAATTTAAGTTCAACAAATGTCAGTTTCAAGTTCAACCAACACCCAAACCTCAAGTTTAACAATTGCAAAAACCTCAAATTCAAACACGCCACAAACTCTAGTTCAAACATGCCACAAACTCAAGTTCAAAAAACACACAAACTCAAGTTCAAAAACACGACAAACTCAAGTTCAACAAACACCACAAATTCAAGTTCAACAAATGTCAAAGTTTTAAGTTCAATATGTAAATGTTCACAGCTACTGGAGACAGACAAGTGCAAGGTTCTTCCTGCATGCATATCCTCTGCATTTGATGCACTGGCTCCTCACTCTTTTAGGATTTGGGCACAATAAACATGCCTTCCGCTTTCTGGAGAGTCCTGGCTGTGGCTTCTCCTCCTTTTCCTCCTCTTCTCCCTGTTTTTCGTGGCCTTCCTCTTGATGGACCTGGCCCTGGGCTTGGAGAACCAGGCTGGCTGCAAATGGTCCTCTGGGAAAATGGCTCCTGTTTGCAGTGGCTGGGGCTATGAGAGCTCTGCCAAGCTGCTGAAGGAAGAGACGGCACTTGAAGTTCTTGCCACTGTTCCAGCTGGGGTCAACAGAGGTGAAAAGGATGTATGCATTGAAGCACAACACATCAACCAAGTGATAGAACAGACACATGGGCCAGCAGCGTGTTTGCCTACGGCAGGAGTAGGTGCCACAAGCCTGCGAAAAAAGAAAAAAAACAACAACTAATGATCAGTTGACATGAATACGTTTATAGCTTACACATCCCTCTGGATGAATTGAAAAAATGAAAAAGTAAATAGTCTACTACTTTATCACACAACAATATGTAATGAGCAACTGTAAATAAATACCAGTAAGTAAAATAAATATGTGATGTGTAATTACCTGGTCTAGGTGGTCGACAGCCCCTTTGCATCTATTGTAGTCCAGAATGATCTGAGGTTTTTTCTTCCTAGATTCCTGGACCTCCGGCTCCCGATGTCTTGTGCTCAAAAGCAGGACATTTTTCCTTTTTTCGGGACATAGGACACAGTGGTCTTGTTGTGCATTGAGGCAAACACAGAGGAAAGCACTTCTCTGAGTTTGGTGTTGAGCAGCTGGTGGGGGAGCTCAGGTTTGTTTGACTTCAGTGTCCCGACCAGGGCCATCCTCCTCTTCTGCAGCTCCTCAGCAAGAGGAAAAGATGTAAAAAAGTTATCTTTTGTTACAGTGTGGCCCTCGAGCTCATCTGTGAGCTCCAGTACAACACGCATGCCCTGGTTGCGCTCAACTGGTGCTGAGGCAGACTTTCCCAAGTAAACTTGGAGCCTCCATGCATAGGAGGTCTGAGCATCGCAGAGTGCCCAAATCTTCAGGCCATACTTCCCAGGTTTGGAGGGCATGTATTGCCTAAATGAACAGCGTCCCCTAAAAGGGACCAGCTGTTCGTCGATACAGATGTCCCTTCCCGGGTTAAACATCTTAGGGAGTCGGCTGCTCCATCTGTCCCACAGGTCTCTGATCGGGGCCATCTTATCCCTCCTGTGGCGGTCTGGCCGCAACAGTTTATCATCAAACCGCAGGGCTAGGTTGATATTCAAGAATCTTTTTGATGACATAGTTGCAGCAAAAATGGGTCGTCCCACATCCTTGTCCCACAGGCTTTTGACAGATTCATGCTGTGACTTGAACAAGCCAGCTAAAATCACCAGCCCCAGGTAGGCACGCAGCTCCTGCTAACTCGGGTCTCTCCAGCCATTCAGTGACCTCCTCCCCTGCAGGTTGGTGAAATGGAGGATAAGCTGCAGGATTTCGTCGGGAAAAAAAAAATCAAATGCACTTCCAGGGCTCCTGATTCTGGCAAGTAAAGAAACCCAGGCCTTTGCTGAAATTTCCCCGAAACTTTCTGTAATGGCCACTGGTTGTTAAAGGGGGGTCATTACACCCAAAACATATTTTCCCTAAATTTTGAAGGTAAAAGCTTAGATCTATTAGGTATATATAGAAAAAGCATTATAATATGTTAGGATTATAGCGTATGACAAATATGTGGTTATAATGGGAGTCAATTGTCCAAATTTGGACACGAGGGTGACAGGTGTCGGTGTGATGCAAATCTCCTATTCTAAACACTTCCAGTACACAGGCTTTTGGATTTAAGGTAATGAAAATGAAAAAAAATAGTGCCAAAATTTCTGACTTAAACTGACTGGGTTACTGAGAGAAGAACAAAAAAAAAAAAAAAAAAATGGCAATTTTTGTCCCCAAGATGCCCCGAGGGTTAAGGGAATACCCGGGTATTAGGTTACAGGACTAGGGTAAGGTGTAAAGTTTTTAGTGTTAGGGTAAAAATCACTGTCCAATATTGTTTTAGGAACATGTTTCAGACCTTTTGAAGTAATTAGACGGAAAAAAAATGAAAAATGAAAAAAAAAATTTGGGGTGGTAGGGCTTCCTTTAGGTAATACCCGGGTATTAGGTGAAAGAGCTAAGTAAAGGTTAAAGGTTTTTGGCATGAGGGTTAAAATCACTGTCCAAAACCTTTTTAGGAACATGTTTCCTGGAAAAAAAAAATGTTTGGTGTGGTAGGGCTTCCTGAAGGTAATACCTGGGTATTAGGTTACAGGGCTAGGGTAAGGTTTAAGGTTTTTGGTGTTAGGGTTAAAATCATTGTCCAAAACCTTTTTAGGAACATGTATCAGACCTTTTGGAGTCAGTAAGACCAAAAAAAATGTAAAATGAAAAAATTTTTTTGGGGTGTTAAGGCTTCCTGAAGGTAATTCCCTGGTATTAGGTTTCAGGGCTTGGTAAAGGTTAAAGGTTTTTGGCATTAGTTTAAAGGGCAAGGGTAAGGTTTAAGGTTTTTAGCGTTAGGGTTAAAATCACTTTTTAGGAACATGTTTAAGAATCACTATCCAAATCACTGTCCAAAACCTTTTTAGGAACTCTTTTCCAACCTTTTGGAATTAGTAAGACAAAAAACGTAAGATGAAAAAAAAAATGTTTGGTGTTTTAGGGCTTCCTTTTGTTAATACCCGGGTATTAGGTTAAGGTGCTAGGTAAAGGTTAAAGGTTTTTGGCGTTAGGGTTAAAATCACTGTCCAAAACCTTTTTAGGAACAAGTTTCAGACCTTTTGGAGTTAGTTAGACCAAAAAAAATGTAAAATGAAAAAAAAATATTTGGGGTGTTCGGGCTTCCTTAAGGTAATACCCGGGTATTAGGTTACGGGGCTAGGGTAAGGTTTAAGGTTTTTTATATTGAGAGTTAAAATCACTGTCCAAAACCTTTTTAGGAACTCTTTTCCAACCTTTTGGAATTAGTAAGACAAAAAACGTAAGATGAAAAAAAAAATGTTTGGTGTTTTAGGGCTTCCTTTTGTTAATACCCGGGTATTAGGTTAAGGTGCTAGGTAAAGGTTAAAGGTTTTTGGCGTTAGGGTTAAAATCACTGTCCAAAACCTTTTTAGGAACATGTTTCAGACCTTTTGGAGTTAGTTAGACCAAAAAAAATGTAAAATGAAAAAAAAAATATTTGGGGTGTTCGGGCTTCCTGAAGGTAATACCCATGTATTAGGTTATGGGGCTAGGGTAAGGTTAAGGTTTTTGGCGTTTGGGTTAAAATCACTGTCCAAAACCTTTGAAGGAACTCTTTTCCAACCTTTTGGAGTTAGTTAGACCAAAAAAAAAATTGAAAAATGAAAAAAAAAATTTGGGGGGTGTTAAGGCTTCCTTAAGGTAATACCCGGGTATTCGGTTACGGGGTTAGGGTAAGGTGTAAGGTTTTTGGCGTTATGGTTAAGATCACTGTCCAAAACCTTTTTAGGAACCGTTTTCCAACCTTTTGGAGTTAGCTGGACCAAAAAAAAAACGAAAAATGAAAAAAAAATGTTTGGGGTGTGAAGGCTTCCTTAAGGTCATACCCGGGTATTAGGTTACGGGGCTAGGGTAAGGTTTAAGGTTTTTAGCGTTAGGGTTAATATCACTGTCCAATATTTTTTTAGGAACATGTTTCAGACGTTTTGGAGTTTGACCAGAAAAAAAACGAAAAATAAAAATAAAAAACTTTTGGTGTGTTAGGGCATCCCTTAGGTAATACCCGGGTATTAGGTTACAGGGCTAGGTAAAGCTTAAAGGTTTTTGGCGTTAGGGTTAAAATCACTGTCCAATATTTTTAAGGAACATGTTTCAGACCTTTTGGAGTTAGTTAGACCAAAAAAAATTGAATAATGAAAAAAAAATGTTTGGGGTGTAAAGACTTCCTTAAGGTAATACCCGGGTATTAGGTTAAGGGGCTAGGGTAAGGTTAAAGGTTTTTGGCGTTAGGGTTAAAATCACTGTCCAAAACCTTTGTAGGAACTCTTTTCCAAGCTTTTGGAGTGAGTTAGTGAAAAAAAAAAAAAAAAAAAAATGAAATAAGTTTTTTTTGGGGTGTTAAGGCTTCCTGAAGGTAATACCCGGGTATTAGGTTAAGAGGCTAGGGTACGGTTTAAGGTTTTTGTCGTTAGGGTTAAAATCACTGTCCAAACCTTTGTAGGACCTCTTTTCCAACCTTTTGGAGTTAGCTTGACCAAAACAAAAAAAAAAAGAAAAATGAAAATAAAAGTTTTTTGGGGTGGTAGGGCTTCCTTTAGGTAATAACCGGGTATTAGTTTACAGGGCTAGGTAAAGGTTAAAGGTTTTTGGCGTTAGGGTTAAAATCACTGTCCAAAACCTTTTTAAGGAACATGTTTCCAAACTTTTGGAGTTAGTTAGACCAAAAAAAAACGAAAAATGAAAAAAAAATGTTTGGGGTGTGAAGGCTTTTCTTAAGGTAATACCCGGGTATTAGGTTACGGAGCTAGGCTAAGGTTAAAGGTTTTTGGCATGAGGGTTAAAATCACTGTCCAAAACCTTTTTAGGAACATGTTTCCTGGAAAAAAAAAATGTTTGGTGTGGTAGGGCTTCCTGAAGGTAATACCTGGGTATTAGGTTACAGGGCTAGGGTAAGGTTTAAGGTTTTTGGTGTTAGGGTTAAAATCATTGTCCAAAACCTTTTTAGGAACATGTATCAGACCTTTTGGAGTCAGTAAGACCAAAAAAAATGTAAAATGAAAAAATTTTTTTGGGGTGTTAAGGCTTCCTGAAGGTAATTCCCTGGTATTAGGTTTCAGGGCTTGGTAAAGGTTAAAGGTTTTTGGCATTAGTTTAAAGGGCAAGGGTAAGGTTTAAGGTTTTTAGCGTTAGGGTTAAAATCACTTTTTAGGAACATGTTTAAGAATCACTATCCAAATCACTGTCCAAAACCTTTTTAGGAACTCTTTTCCAACCTTTTGGAATTAGTAAGACAAAAAACGTAAGATGAAAAAAAAAATGTTTGGTGTTTTAGGGCTTCCTTTTGTTAATACCCGGGTATTAGGTTAAGGTGCTAGGTAAAGGTTAAAGGTTTTTGGCGTTAGGGTTAAAATCACTGTCCAAAACCTTTTTAGGAACAAGTTTCAGACCTTTTGGAGTTAGTTAGACCAAAAAAAATGTAAAATGAAAAAAAAATATTTGGGGTGTTCGGGCTTCCTTAAGGTAATACCCGGGTATTAGGTTACGGGGCTAGGGTAAGGTTTAAGGTTTTTTATATTGAGGGTTAAAATCACTGTCCAAAACCTTTTTAGGAACTCTTTTCCAACCTTTTGGAATTAGTAAGACAAAAAACGTAAGATGAAAAAAAAAATGTTTGGTGTTTTAGGGCTTCCTTTTGTTAATACCCGGGTATTAGGTTAAGGTGCTAGGTAAAGGTTAAAGGTTTTTGGCGTTAGGGTTAAAATCACTGTCCAAAACCTTTTTAGGAACATGTTTCAGACCTTTTGGAGTTAGTTAGACCAAAAAAAATGTAAAATGAAAAAAAAATATTTGGGGTGTTCGGGCTTCCTGAAGGTAATACCCATGTATTAGGTTATGGGGCTAGGGTAAGGTTAAGGTTTTTGGCGTTTGGGTTAAAATCACTGTCCAAAACCTTTGAAGGAACTCTTTTCCAACCTTTTGGAGTTAGTTAGACCAAAAAAAAAATTGAAAAATGAAAAAAAAAATTTGGGGGGTGTTAAGGCTTCCTTAAGGTAATACCCGGGTATTCGGTTACGGGGTTAGGGTAAGGTGTAAGGTTTTTGGCGTTATGGTTAAGATCACTGTCCAAAACCTTTTTAGGAACCGTTTTCCAACCTTTTGGAGTTAGCTGGACCAAAAAAAAAATGAAAAATGAAAAAAAAATGTTTGGGGTGTGAAGGCTTCCTTAAGGTCTTAGGTTACGGGGCTAGGGTAAGGTTTAAGGTTTTTAGCGTTAGGGTTAATATCACTGTCCAATATTTTTTTAGGAACATGTTTCAGACGTTTTGGAGTTTGACCAGAAAAAAAACGAAAAATAAAAATAAAAAACTTTTGGTGTGTTAGGGCATCCCTTAGGTAATACCCGGGTATTAGGTTACAGGGCTAGGTAAAGCTTAAAGGTTTTTGGCGTTAGGGTTAAAATCACTGTCCAATATTTTTAAGGAACATGTTTCAGACCTTTTGGAGTTAGTTAGACCAAAAAAAATTGAATAATGAAAAAAAAATGTTTGGGGTGTAAAGACTTCCTTAAGGTAATACCCGGGTATTA